CTGCCTGCCCCAAAGCACGGAGGGAAAGGGTAGCAAGAAATACCTGGGAAAGAAGTACAGGTTACTCTGCTCCAATTGTGCCCACGGTGCCTTTGGATGTGCAGATGTTTAAAATATGCATGCCGCCAAATAGTTCCCTATTTTTCTTTACAGTTCCTTCCATTTGCTTCTATGCTTCAAACACTTCTGACCATTTTGAAACCAGTAACCATACACCAGTATTCTCTTCTGGCTGTTAACGGTTTCATGTTGCATTTCACTCACCAGTACGCCAATAAATGAATTTCACGTTGTGACCTGCTCTTTCTTCTCTCCCGAGCTGCCTTGACCTAAGAGGACTAAGTCACAGAGTCTCAGAACTGGAAGGAACCTCAATGGTCACCTGGTCCCATCACCCACCCAAGTAGGAATCCTCTCTGTGGCATCTCTCCAGCCATGGGGAGCTTCTTACTTCAAAGTATCATTATGTGACATCACTGATTGAGAGAAAGCTTTCTCATCTAAATAAGCCACAATCTGGCTCCCGCTGGTCCTGCTCAGGCCTAGGGAGGCCCACTGTGTCCTCTGCCTGTGACAGTCCTCACCCCCTGGAGATGGCATCGTGTCTACTCCCCTCTCTTCCCTAGCTTTGCTAGAGCTGTTCTGCACACCCTTGATTCGCAGGACCCCCTGCTCCCCTTTCCGGCTGCGTCTTCTGCTGAATTTGCTGGGCCTGTCCACATGAGCTGGGGCCTAAGTTGTGATCGCCTGATGCGCTCAGACTAGCCCAGCACCAGGGCCTGTGATACGGACATGCTGTCTCAAGAACACAGCCTGCGAGTTGACCAATTTTCTGAGCCTCTGCTCATCTAATATCTGAGATCTCCGTTACATCAATTGAGGCCTCTCCCAGCCTTGCCTGCACCTGCCGACCTTTTGTACTAAAATTCAGCGACAGTGGAGATAGAGATGGCAAGTTCTGGGATTAGGCAGAGCTGGGCCAAATGCCAGCTGCTCAGTCACGTACTTACAAGAGGGAAGGCCCGGGTAACCTTGGACAGCTTACATAACCTCTGTCAGCTTTGGAGACCTCATTTATAAAGAGCAGTTAACACTAGTACCTGTTCTCTTAAGGGCCATGTGAGGATTAAGAAATACTGTAATTCTTACCACGTGTAGTTTATTAAGTGTGCAATAAATAATAGCTATTCTTCTTATTGTTATTAAGCATCTAAGACTGTAGCTCGTGTTTTCATCAGAAGAAAAGACAAATACTTGCCCTCAATGGTGGACAATATCAATTAGGAGGTAGGCAATGTTGATCAGAAGTGAATTTATTCCAACGGAGGAGGGAGAGGTATCAATGTTAGTAAGCAGAGATTAAGAGGGTCAAGCCAATAGATTCAAGAAAATTACTGAAGGCAACAGGAGAGACAGACCAAAAAAGGGAAAGGAAACGGCAGAATTGCAGGCTGTTTGCTCCCTTGCAACCAGAGGGTAGAGAGCCCAGAGGTCAGACGAGGCCTGGCCAAGCAGCGTTTTAGTCTTGGCTCCTGGGCCTTGATGGAAACCTCTCCTGCCCACTGCTCCCTGCCTCCTTGCCTCCCACTATGCTCTGGTTCAGAGCAGGCTCTGGCCCAGACCCACCCATGGTTCCTGGAAGCCAACAGACAGAGGCTAATGCATTTATACTGACTTCGTCAACGCTGGGGATGCCATGGGGGAATACCCCCATCTGTCAGCTGCCAGCTGCTGTCCTAGACTCCAGCCTCTTCCAACGGAACCAAGAGAGACGAAGTCCAAGGCTTCCTTCTACCTAAGGCACATTGTTGCAGTGACTGACACTGAAAATGATCATTCATGAAAACCCCACCCCATGCCCACAGCAGGGCCGCCTTCCTCCCAGCCCCTCCTGGAAGGCTCTCCAGGACACCCCAACTTCAGACCCCATATCCACCACAACGTTCACCCCTGCTGAGCCCATGGGCCTCCTGGAAGAGGCTTGCTCGGCAGCACTTATAATTACGCTGCATTGTAACTGTCTGTCCCTATCTTCATCCTTCTGTATCTTTGGGGTGAAGCTCAGGCCTGGCACATAGTGGGTGCTCTGAAAACATGTCTGCTGAGTGAATCTTGCAGAAAGGGCCCTGGCGAGAGTAAAGAGAGGGGTCTGACCACAGTCCCCGTACTTCCCGGATGTGCGACTGTAGGCAAGTCCCTATCCCTCTCTGAGCTTCAGATCTTTCATCTGTACAGTGGAGATCAGAGCTTGTGAACTATTGGCCCAGAGGGCCCATCTAGGTTGTGGATACATGGTTTATGACTCATTCAGTGTTTAATTTTATTTTAAAATTAGTTCCAACACTTAAAAATTAGGAGATTTCCATAAAACCTAAAGTTTTCAGCTTTTATTAAAAAATGAAAAGACCTGGCTACACTGGACCCATAGTCCCACATACAACAGTTGGCTGACCTGGGCAGCAGCTGCCCCTTTAATTGGGCATTTGGACACATTGCCACCTCCCCTCACTCCCTAGAGCCTTACCCAGCATGCTTCACTCACGTATGTCACCTGCCTGCCCTCCATAGGCATCTGAGTTTGCAACCCCTGAATGTCATCTCTGAGCTCAGCACGACCTGACTGTTCTTCGGTCTGTGAGGCCTAAAGACAGTGTTACAGGATCCCTAGGTGAGGAAAAAGTGCACTAACACCCTGGATAGGAAGCCACTTGGGCTGAGTGGAGAGAAACTGCTGCTTCTGAGGATGACGCAGAGTCTATAAATAACCTCAGTGCCAGGTGAGTGCTGACATCCGCCCCATCTCACCTGAGCTGGAGTCCTCGAGGGCTGGGCATGTTTCAGTTCATGGCTCAGCCCAGGGACTCTCCCTCCTCCTGATGCCACTGAGGACAGTACAGGTAGGACAACTCCACAGCTGAGCCTGGGGGGAAGGTGGAACTTTACTCTGGCTCAGACGGGAGGTAGTGATGATGTCTGATTTTCCAAAGAGGGTGGAAGGAGTAACACGAGTGAAGGAGGCTGGTTCTCAATCCAGGGTCCTGGGGATGGGGGCATTGTACCATTGATGGCTCCCCAGTGCTGTCCAACAATGTCAGACCTCAGCCTGGCCTCAGGACCCTCTGTGACTGTCCCCTCCACCCCAGCCTTTTAGCTCACAGTCAATATAATAGCCTTTCCTTGAAGGTGACCTCTCCCAGCTCTGCGCTGGCTTTGGCTCATTCCCCCTTCTAGAATCTCCTTTCCATATCTTTGTGTCTTTGCCCCTCCAGTGTGGTTGTCTCCAGGCTTATTCCCCAGGTAGAAACCATCTCCCCTATCCCCTGAGTTCCACAGCCCCCGGCTAACTCCTCAGTTTCTATCTTGCCTGCATTTTGCTGCCCGACCCTTTCCCAGGAGCTGATTCAGGGTCTGGGGCAGATCAGTCCAGAGCTGGCCCCAGCTCAAGCCCACCTGACTCCAAGGCCCAGCCTCTATCCTCTTCTCTGGTCCTCAGAACTCTGGGCCCTGCAGCTGAGACCCACTGCTGCCTGAGCCCCAAATCCTGAACAAAGTCTAGACTCTGTCCCTCACTGGTGCTCATGGCACAGTACTAATGGGTTGACAAATTCCACTCTCTCTCTGTCATTGGAACAGACCTGGAAAACAAGCAGGGTAAGGATTATCATCACATCCTTCTTCTCCAGAGGCGAAACTGAGGCCAAGAGCGGCCTGGGAGGACTGGCACAGGTGGCGGGGACTCCAGGGTTCTCCAACCCCCCAGGCAGTGCCTTCCTCGCTCTGAGCCTCAGTTTCCCCTCTGGAGAGTGCCAGTGTTGGCCCAGATGCCCCCTCAGGGCCCCTGCCTGTTATTCACTCACTGTGGGCCTCCACGCCTCCCAGGCTTCTGTGAAGCCCACCTCAGCACACAGGGTAAATCCCCCTCCCGGTGTTCCTCCCACTCAGGTCCCTCTCTCTTCCTGTCTTGCTCTGTCACTTTTCCTTGCTCTGTATGGAATGGTCCCTGTGCTGTGTTACCTGCAGGTGTGGTTTCCAGGTGAGCAGGGGCGAGAGGGGAGCCAGCAGCTGGCTGCCCTGGTTGCTGGGGACCAGGGCTGTCAGTCGTTGGGGTTGGAGAGAGGGGTCAGACCCAGTCCTGGTGGAGTGCTGGGGGCCAGACGGGAGCATGACGGTACCAGGCTGAGTTTCCAGTCTTGCTGCAAAAGGGTGTGCTCTCCCTGGAGACAGGCCCAGGCTAGGATGAGGAGGTCTGTGATCACCATGGGAGGTGTCTGCCCATCGGCTCCTGCCACCTCTCACTCTAACCCCGCCTCTCATCTCCACCTTTCTTAGACTGATTCTCAGTGCCACCTTCTCTCTTGGTCTTCCGGGCCTATGGCGGGAGGGGCGGCCTATACAAAGAGCTCAAATGTAGACTTTTGTTATATTTAAATAAAAACATATGGACGCTCATATTTTGCAGTTAACCGCGTTTTAGCATTTTCTCTCTTTTTTTTTTCCATCTATTGGGGCCCTCACAAAACGGAAGCCGCCTCCTTTTGCGAGGTCGTGTCCGTCCCTCTGGCCGTGGTGGGGGCGTGTTCAAAGGACTTCTCGCTCCGCAGCCCCGCAGCCGGGCTGCACTGCCCGTTGGGGCCTGCAGGGG